CGTTGTTGAGGAAATCAGTGTAGAAATACAGACCCTCGGTGACGGCGAAGTCAGTCATCCGGGCAAGGTCCTGGGCTACGTTGATTAGAGATGCCCGTTAAAATGCATTTAAGGCAATTTAGGATATTCCAGTTATAATTTTAACTATTGAATACCAACTCTCTAGAAGTGACCCATCAGATTCATGCAAGAGAAAAGCTGTCCCGCTATACGCCATGCAGGCGCTTGGGAGGAGAGGCGTTTAGCTCGTAATCTTTCTTGACCTCGGCGCTAGATGGGGTTGAGTGGTCAGCATCACGCCCCGGCCGGCTTTACCCCCGGGATCCATTTGATAGGAGGCTGGGTGGGCCCCAGAATCGGTCTGGACGTCGAGGCTAGAGGAAAAATCCTCTGGACCCATCGGTCTTTCCTTTTTGTAACTCTGAATTGTTGTGCGGGAAGCCATTACATTGACAACAAATTTAAATTAAGATAGTCTAACGAGGCAAGAGTGTTAGGTTAGACCGTAATCGTAATTAGTTTATGCTTTTAAACTGCTCTCCTTCGTAAAGCTGTTTACCCACAAGTATTGAACGTGATGAATGCGCCACCTGAAAAACTAGTAAGAATTATAAATGGAATTCAAATTTAGCCTATTAACGTCTTTCTCTGCTCTTTCTGGGGATGGATGAAATGCATGATTTATGAATAGTCCATCTCTGAAGTTACGTCATCCACTGTTGAAGAAATGGCCAATCCCTTAAACCGTTCCTACGCCATTGTTCTGAAGGAGACCTTGGTCGGATTCAGCATCGAAGATCTTCTTTTGATGGGTGCAGTTGGGAATAGTCGTAATTATTCACAGCGGAATGAAAAGGTTTGTAGCTAAAGTGTGATTTTAAACACGCCCCTCAGATAAAAATTAAACTAAGGCAACGGAAGAAGGAGACAAGGCGTCTCTGATACGGGGTGCGATCGGAAAGTTTCAAGACTGTGTCAATAGAGGGCGAACCGAATGTAGTACGAGCTTCTGCCGCTAGGGGGTGCGGCCTACATTCATAGTGAATCAGTGCGAATCGGTCTGGACGTCGAGGCTAGAGGAAAAATCCTCTGGACCCATCGGTCTTTCCTTTTTGTAACTCTGAATTGTTGTGCGGGAAGCCATTACATTGACAACAAATTTAAATTAAGATAGTCTAACGAGGCAAGAGTGTTAGGTTAGACCATAATCGTAATTAGTTTATGCTTTTAAACTGCTCTCCTTCGTAAAGCTGTTTACCCACAAATATTGAACGTGATGAATTCGCCACCTGAAAAACTAGTAAGAATTATAAATGGAATTCAAATTTAGCCTATGAACGTCTTTCTCTGCTCTTTCTGGGGATGGATGAAATGCATGATTTATGAATAGTACAGTTCTGAAGTTACGTCATCCACTGTTGAAGAAATGGCCAATCCCTTAAACCGTTCCTACGCCATTGTTCTGAAGGAGACCTTGGTCGGATTCAGCATCGAAGATCTTCTTTTGATGGGTGCAGTTGGGAATAGTCGTAATTATTCACAGCGGAATGAAAAGGTTTGTAGCTAAAGTGTGATTTTAAACACGCCCTTCAGATAAAAAGCAAACTAAGGCAACGGAAGAAGGAGACAAGGCGTCTCTGATATATCGAAGTACAGCGCGAGACACTGGGCTGTGACGTCAGGAGTGCAACTGACATCGAAGGACTGCGTGTTTCTATCAACTGACGGATTTCACTGCGCAAGTTTTTAATAACGGGGGCTTCGTGTAGTTGTTAAATCGAAGCAAAATAAAATAATGCGATACAAAGGGTTTTTAAGCAGTTTATTTATTGTACGTGTTGCATAAAGAGGAGATTCATAAATTGTATTCGTCGCCAAATATAATTGGAGAGATAAAGTCAAGGAGGGTAAGATGGGCAGGGCATGTAGCTCGCATGGGATAGAAGAAGAATGCATACAGGGTTTTGGTGAGCAAGTCAGAAGGAAAAAGTCTAATAGGAAGACGTAGTCGTAGTGTGATGATAATATTAAAATGGATATTAGAAAATAGGATGATGTAAGACTGGAGTCATGTGGCTCAGGATAGCGAACAGTGGCGAGCTTTTGTGAACACTATAATGAGCCTTCGGTTTGCATAAAGTTTTGGAAAGTTTACGAGTGGCTGAGCGACTGTTGGCTTCTAAGGTACTCGGCTCTGTGCAGTGGGTAAGGTTGTACTGTACCTAAATAGTAAACGTTTGAACAATGAAGGTACCTCAGATTTCTTAATAAACTTTTATTTTGGAACCTGAAATTCTTTGGTTGTGGAACTTTTGGAAGTGACTTGCGTTGCGTAGCAATTCAGCTGTTCAGAACGCGCATGTCGCCAATATGTTAAACACAAATGGCTACGTATCGCATTTTGAAGCACACAAATGGCTGTTTCCCCCAGAGATTAGCAAACCGCACTGATATTAATGATCAGTGAGTGATAGCGAACAAATTGAATCGCGCAGTTGCGCCCGGGCGGGGGATCGGTCACGAGACTGCGTTGTGCTGTTGGATCGCCGAATTGAGGTGACCCCACCTGACACAGCGATAAATTTGCGTCGTATTTTAAAGGATTATTTGTATTTCATACTTAGAAGTCAGGCAATAACGGGAAAGGCTACTGGCTGGATGTCCTGGCTTCGGTTCCTGGCAATAAAATCTCGTGCAACAAGCCGGGTCAGTCGAGGACAGTGTTTTTGTCTACAGCTTACATTGCTTGTCGCCCGAGAAGATTTGTCTTCAGTCCACATGAGAGCTTCAAGTCGAAGAAGAACGTCTCTACCTGACGTCGTTTCCATCTCAATTCCGATCCAGCCTAACTGGGTAGGCTGCCTGAAACAATGCGGCCAGAGATTTCATCTAAGATTTATTTCCC